AGGGAAAGCAGCGTGAAGGGGCCCTATTATGGTACAGGGCATTTTGAAAGTTCCGAAGTGAAATGTTTTCTGAATTGACAGATGTTTATAACTTCTAGGGAAATATCGTGAGCCTTATTCATCACATTTGGATTCTACTGTGATTGATTACATATGAGATTTGCTTTCAAAAACAGAATTCATTATCCAAATCTAAGTAGTTGTCTTATGGATCTGTTTTCAAAATGAAAAAGCATCAGATATTTTTTGCTTGGGTTTTATTCAGTACTTTTTGTATTCAATACTGGCTTTGTTGGTTTTGATTATACATTCATCTTTTGCACATGCTGAATCATTAAATAAGTCTTTAGGGCTAATAGCACATTTGGTTATGAAATCAGAATTTATAGTGACCCTAGATAATACCAAACATTAAGAGGAGGCATCCATAATAGTAAGTACAATTAATTTTGAGGCCATTCTCGAAAGGAAAGGATAGTACAGCAACCCTCCTCCCACCCACAGTTTTGCTTTCTATGGTCATCTGCAGCTACAAACACTAAAGGAATGTTCCAGAAATAAAGAATTCATAACTTTTAAATTTTGCAGTTCTGAAGGCTGATAAAATCTGAAGCAGTTCCATCCCTTCTCAACCAGAATGTGAATCAACCCTATTCAGTGTGTCCACACTTGTCCATGCTCCCTGACTGTTGGTCATTAGCAGTCATCTAGATTATCAGATCAGCCGTCACGGTGTCACAGAGCTTGTGTTCAAGTACCCTTATTTGACTTTATATTGGCCCCAAAGGACAAGAGCAGTAATGCTGGCATATAGTTATAATGGTTCTATTTCATTTTAAGTAATTTTTGGTCATCTTTTTCTGTGCCTGATTTATAAATTAAACTTTACCATATGTATGCACAGGAAAAACATAGCACTGTGTACATAAGGTTTGATATGATCCATGATTTCCAACATTCACTGGGGGAAGAATCTTAGAACCTCACAGTTACCTAAAGTAGAAAAGCAATTGAAATACAGAAAAAGCTTACCAATAAGAATAACACCATACTTTACAAAGAAATCAATTATCTTTGTTGCCAGACAAATCCTTACTAGCCAGTTCTAGAACCACAAAGTCAATGTTAAATAAAAAACAACAAAAAAAGTGTTCCCAATATATTTAAAGATAGAAAACACAGAGGTAGGAAGAACACATTACAATGTAAGTGATTCTTTAGCCTGAAATTGAGAAAGCCTCAGTAAAATTTAATATCTCTGAACATATGAGCAACCTTTATACAGACCATGATGATTAAGTAGTTTTCACTTTTTAGAAAGCAAAATGAGGGACCAGCAGATGGGGTAATGGTTTTGTCGCTGGACTCCCAAGTAGTCGAACATGGTTTGAGTCCCAGACCCGGAGGCTTGAAACTCACACAGGGCACATGTGCATGTATGCTCAAAATCCTAAGAGGAGAATGGAAGAGAAGGGATTATGGCATGGTCATTCCCCTTATGGGGTGATTTTTCACTTTCTGTCTATTTCTCTCTGTCTCTCTGGTGAACACATCTACTGAGGGGGATAAAAAAGACAAAGTGAAGTGGGCCTAAAATATAGAAAGGACAGTTTAGATTAATATGTGAAATAATTTTCTGAAGGACTGGACTTTTATTGTAAGGAAATACTAAGAGAGTTTATGGAGTATTGCTTTAAAAAATCTTTTTAAATAATAAAATTTGATTCATATTACAGTTGACTTAAGTGAGTTATGATTCTAACTAAACTAACACAATTTTGTCTGTCTAAAGTGGCTGTGGTTCTAGCTGAAGGAAGAGGTTATAAATAAGCTTTGCTCCATAGGTGTTTCCTGCTGTAAGACACACAAGACAATGTACACATCGCTATGGGTGTATTTAGCGTTTGGGGCTATTCCCACTGCACCTGTGGCACCCTACTTCTCCTTTACTTACTCGGGGAGAGGGTGAATGACAATGAGCATGTTATAGATTTATCTTCTACATGTGCTGAAGGCTGGAAATAGTGTTTGCAAATGTCAGGACAGTAGGCAGGAGGCACTCTGTCCATGAGGGACATCACAAGACCTCCAGTAGATCCCTGAAACCAAAGAAGTACTGAGCCCTCTGTAAACTATGTTTTTTCCTATACATAGATCCCTAGGGTAAAAAGTAATTTCTTTTTTTTTTTTTTGGAGAGATTTTCACTATAGGGCGCGTGCGCTCGCCAGACAGACAGAGAGAGACATTAGAGACAGAAAGTGAGAAATCACCCCCCCAGGGGGGATGATCACGCCGCAATCCCTTCTCCTCCATTCTCCTCTCGGGATCTTGGGCACGCACGCACACGCGCCCGGCATGAGTTTTAAGTCACCGGGTCCAGGACGCGAACCGCGGTCGACTACGTGGGAGTCCAGCGACATAGCCATTACGCTAACTGCTGGTTCCCTAAAAAGTAATTTCTAAATTAGGTACAATATGAAATTAACCACAATAAATAGTAATGAAACAGAACAATTATAATAATATGCTATAATAAAAGTTGTGTGAATATAGTCTCTCTCAAAATACCTTCTTGTACTGTATTCACTTATTTTTGCACCATGTTGACCTTGGATAACTGAAACCACAGAATGCAAAACCACAGATAAGGGAGACTACTGTAGTGTAATTTTTTAAATTGCTGCACTTGCAGTAGACACAATAAAGATCATGGTGTGATAATGTGACGACCTCTGCCTTGGATCACTTCTCCCAGCTTACAGTCAAGAATGTACACATTGGCTGATTAGGTAACTCCATTCAGGAGAATGACACTTTTCACCATGTTAATTACCTCTTCCCCAGGGATGAGTTCAACCTCAAATTGACCCTCCTCAGTAATCAGTGGCAGGGAGTGATCCGCAGGGCCCAGCAGAGGCGCGGGATCATTGACAGCCAGATCCGCCAGTGGCAACGCTATAGAGAGATGGCAGAAAAGCTTCGTAAGTGGTTGGTTGAAGTGTCCTATCTACCCATGAGTGGCCTCGGAAGTGTCCCTATACCACTGCAACAAGCAAGGACCCTCTTTGATGAAGTGCAGGTAAGGTGCAAAGCACGCTGTTCTCAAACCTCTTGTGCGTTTCCATGCACACTTTACCTTAGCCTCGGTTCTTCAGAAGGACTCTGGAGTGACATCTGAATCAGGACAAACATTGCCCTCAAGTGTCAACAGAAATACACCAAAGGACTGCATTACAAAGCCTGTATTTAACTGTGAGAGTTTAGAGTCCAGTCATTCACAAAGATACCCTCCACTGCATACACCAGGCCTGCAGCAGCGGATTGAATCCCAGCATGGATGAAAAGGCAACAGCGAGGGAAAGAAAGCTTTGTGTTGATTGTATATATTTCACTCAAGAGCAATCTCAACATGCACCTTAAGTACTTCCGGGACAACCAAAGGCTCAGTCCTGTCGGAGATCCTCATCTGTTCCTACTGGTAGTCTTGCCCTCCTGGGAATTCAGGCCTCCAGCATCCCAGTGACTTCCTAACCTCTAATAAGCTCTCCCCAGTGTATTTCATGGGACCCTTGTCCTTTAAATGTCGCTATTCTCCAATCGCTTTCTCCCAAATTCCTCTGGAAGGTTTTATCCTAAAACATGGCATCTAGTACCCACTTTCTGCAGACGCAAAGCAAGTTGAGTTCACATTCTTTCTTACCTGCTGAGTTTTCAACTTTTGCATGCAGCCACTTTTTAGATCTCTATGTGCATCACAGATGCAGTGTGTCCTGTGGGTCCCAATGGAGCTTGCCGTCTCTGGACCAACCATTCTCCATTTCCCATGTCTGCAGTCCAAGGCAATGCCATCACCAGCTATCCCGTCTATCAGCTCAGGAACCCTCGATTCATTTTAGAGCTATTTTCTTCCTTAGGTCTCACTCCCCATATTTAATCTGCCTCAAGTCTCCAACCCTGCTGCCATGCCTAAGGATAAGGATTTAGGATTTTGCACTTAGATAGACGATAGCTTCCTAGCCTGTCTTTGCATATCCAACATATGCCATTCTTCCAGTCAGTCCACTTTCTACCTACTGCTGAGTGCTTTTTATTAAAACTTTAATCCAAACACATTACTTCCTAGTTAAATATTCTGTGAATTATAATAACTTTAACTAGGAAAACCAAATTACTGTTTATGACATGGTCTTGTCACATATTCTTCCATTCTCCTCTCTCTCATTGATATCCCACACTTGAGCTACTGAAAACTATGTCTAGTTTCTGAATTCATCATATTTCTGTCCTATAGTGTTTTTACCCATCCTCATTTATTCTTAGGAAGGTGTTCTGTTCTACAATGCTGGGTCACACTCACCACTCCAGGTCATTTTTAATGTGGTTGCTGGAACTGACGGTTGGTGTAATAGCTATGTCACTGGACTCCCATGTAGTTGACCATGGTTCAAGTCCTGGACCCAGTGGTTTAAACTCACGCCAGGTGCATGTGCATGCCCAAGATCCTGAGAGGAGAATGGAGGAGAAGGTATTGTGGCATGGCCATCCCCTCTGGGGGGTAATTTCTCCCTTTCTTTCTCTCAGTCTCTCTCTGTCTTTTGGGCAAGCGCACGTGCCCTATAGCAAAAACCTCTCCAAAAAGAAAAAAAAAATGTGGTCACATTCATATGTCTTTTCAAGACTCCTTCAATCCTCATCACTTTATGAAAGCTTCTCTGTTCCTCTACACACCCCGTGCTGAATCAAGTGTCCCTGTGTATTCCCTGTGCGTCCCTCCCATAGAGCAGTAATCATATTGTATCATGACTGTATTTAACTTGTTGGTTAGAAAGGAAGCACCTCCCTGCCATATTTTCATTCATTTATGCCTTGGTTCATCCATGCACAAAGTACCAGTTCAGTCCATGCACCTTGGATGAAAGAAGCATGCTATGTAAATTTTGGGTCATTGAAAAGCATTCATAAGAAAATGGTAAAGAAAAGGACAGGAGAGTAAAAAGCTTTGGCTCCTTTCAGTTCAAAGAAAAAGTGTTCCTGCGACAGCAAGGGAGCTACATCCTCACCGTGGAGGCAGGGAAGCAGCTCCTGCTCTCAGCCGATCGTGGAGCAGAGGCCGCCTTGCAGGCTGAACTTGCTGAGATCCAAGAGAAATGGAAGTCTGCCAGCATGTGTTTGGAGGAACAGAAGAAAAAACTGGCCTTCTTGTTGAAAGTAAGTTATGTTGAAAGACCCTTTTAATAGCTGTACTGCATCCTCCCTTTGTCTTCCTGTGAAGCAAGTAATGCAAAGATCATTAAGTAATGTCCTGCAGTATTTGATCCTCTGTGTTTTACTTAAGACTTTGTCCTATCTTGCATGAACTGGAACTTTTCCACTTTCCAGCATTTCATTTTTCAGGAAAATCCCCCAACAAAGTAATTTCAAGTCTAATAAGACTGTCCAAGCTATAAATTCTGAATAATGGCCAATGAAAAGCCTTCGTCATGTGATGACTTTATAAATCCAGACAGAAATTCAAAGAGTAGGTTTCACTCCCTTTTCTAAGATGCTAAAGTGGTTTTCAAGATTGATATCTCCTATTTTATAGCAGGAAAAAGCAACCCAAAAAAGAACTCTTGATTTAGGTTAGCTTATCCAAGCAAGTTGGTCTGAGATAAAATCTCTAGATCAGACAGGTACAGAGTGCAGATGTATTCTACAGTAGGCTAGGGAAATAGAGCCCTAGCCAGACTTCCCATAATATGCTCTTCCCCTTATTCTCCACTTCCGTGCATAAAACTAGCAGTAGTCTTGGCTTATCTGTGAGAGAGATGTGTTAAGACCTTCAGTGGATACCTGAAACCATGGATGCTATTGAGCTATTGAGCACTGTCCCCTTGTTTTCTCATCCATACATACCCAGGTAAAGTTTAATGTATACATTAAGCATAGTAAGGGATCAACAACAATAACTAATAATAAAATACAACAATTATAGCAATATACTGTAATAAAAGTTATGTGAATGTGGCCCTCTCTTTCTCAAATTATTTTTGTCTACTGTAACTGAAATCAATGAAAATAAAACTGTGGATGGGGGGGTGGGAGCTGCGCTGATTAAATCAGCTGTTTTGAAAGTGCATGAATGCAAGTGCTGATGGTACAACTGGAGGGCTGGAGGAAAGGAAGCAGGTTGTGATCAGAAACTGTAGAGGGTGCTCACCTCTGTCTTCCTCTCTCTCTTTTTCTCTCATGCACACATGCTCTAACATGAATGAACAAAGAAAACAAAAGACCATGGGCTCTAAGTTTAGATGAACTCAAGTGAGAAACCATAGTAAACCAGCCTACCTTAGCCTCAGTCGTTCCTAATCTGTAGAGTGGATATAATTAAGCCTCCGTCACTGGGCCAGCGTGAGGATTTAATGACATAATGAAAGAAAACCATGCAGTAATGTACCTGGCCCATATTGTGCACTAAATACATGACAGTAATTATCATTGTGGATGGTCTTATCACTTTAAAAAGTGAGTACAACAAACCCGCTCTGGCGGTGCAAGTGGGAGGTGCCGTACAGAGGTGGAGGCTGCACGGAAGGCCTGAGTTCAACCTTGGAGCAACTCAAAGAGGCTCTTCATGGTGACACACCTATTTTCAAGCTGAGTTAGTGCTAGTTAACTAGGAGCCTGGGGAAGCAGAACTGTGACATGAAACCCTGTCAGAAATACCTCTTTCTCTCTCTCTCCTTCTGTGGACTCTCTCTTTCTCTGTAATACATACTCCATCATGAACTTTTTAAAAAAGTGACTACATGGAACCAGCAGTTGGTGTAATGGCTATGTTACTGGACTCCCATGTGGTCGACCATGGTTCAAGTCCTGGACCCGGAGGCTTAAACTCACGCTGGGTGCGTGTGCATGCGTGCCCAAGATCCTGAAAGGAGAATGGAGGAGAAGGGATTGCAGCGTGGCCATCCTCCCTGAGGGTGATTTCTCACTTTCTGTCTCTCTGTCTCTCTCTGTCTTTCTGGCGAGCACACTCACTGTAAGCTAAATGCTGAGATTTACCTATGTTTACAATAACCAGTGATATACTGAGACTAACTTTTAAATTTATTCTGTCAAGTATTTGGATCAAAGTAATAACTAAAGTTAATGGAATGAATATTACTATTTTAATGCCAAGTTATGCACACTTACTTTTATTTAATAATATTTTATCTTCTATCTAGGAAACAACCAATTACAAATGCCACTGAACAATACAAAGAACTGGTATTTGCACACAGTATCATTCATCAGTAATATAATATGCCTGATTCTTTTTTTCTGGTTTTTTTTTTTTTTGCCTTCAGAATAGGATTTACAACACTGTAACTCATTCAATAGAGAACATATTAATCATATATTTTTCTTTATTTGTGATGTGATTTTTGGAAGTATTCCCACGACTTAATAAGGCCGATGTCTGAGTCATGGCATTTGCTTTACTTGTCCAGCTGTTTATTGCTGTGTGAAACATCCATTTTGATAGATGTTTGCAGGTCTTGACCTTGGGTCATTTTCTTATAATTCATGTAGCAAAACCACTTGGTTATATTTCTAAAATGTAAGTCATCCTTGGAAAGGGGAATCCCTATTCTTTTGTTAAAATTTATGTTATTTTGGATCATACACTACATCGTGTTTGCCTAAGCAGAAATTTACGCATTTAAATCTGAATGTTTATATAGCCTCATTTTATTGCGTCTTTTCATCACAGCTATAATATTTACCTATTACTAGTCTTAGTGATAATAAATAAATATAATGTAATAAAAATACCATTTATTAAAATTCCATGCCCTGCATATTCACCTACCTTGCTGTCGTCTCTTAATTTTCTTATAAAAAAAGAACTAGCTTTACCTCTTTTAGATAAATGAGCATGTATTGACTGCATATTGCTAGACTTCAGGATATGTGCTTATTTAATCGAGAATGTTGTTGGATTTGAGCAGAAAAGAGAATCTCTTTGTTTATCCTGACTATGCTAGACATAGTACAGCCTGGAAATGCAGAGATTTTTTAAATAGGAGAATTGAGAAAAATCCGTCTGTGATAGACAAAGGTATTGTGGATTTTTCCCCCTGTATTTGGGGAGATGGAATGTGGTTATCTGCTCCAGGAAGTTCCATGAAGGAATTTTAAAAAGAAATAAGAATCTTGGGCGAAGCTCTCGGTTCAGTTTAGAAACCAATGTTTGGAGTAGAGAGGCGCTTCAGTCAACACTTCCTTCAGGTGACAGTTGTGGAGATAGTACTTGTTGCTGTGCTAAGAGTAAGGTGTCAGGAGAGAAGATAATGTAGACCAGAAGAGAATGGTGATGATGAAAGAGATGTGAGGAAGGAAAACACGGCAGGATTTGGCACCGTGCTAACTACTCCAAGGTCCTAACTGTGATTCCGTGGAGCTCAGTAATTTACAGTGTGGGTGTTGGCTGCTGAGGAGGAGGGTGGTAAAGCCAGAAATAGACAGGATGACAAATGGTCAGTACTGGACAAAATGAAGGAGACTTCTTTGGTTGAATTTCATTTTTACTGGCTCTGAGACACCAGACATGATTTTTTAAAATTTTAATTTCTTTTTAATTACAAAAGATTTTGTGTCTGATTGTAAAAGTCAGGTAATAATTAAAGTATGGCAGAGTGAGAAAAAAATGTAATTTTCCTCACACCACCAGCCAGAGGTAATCATTTTTTTTCTAGTTTAACATGCCAAATTTCAAAACATACCCACACGATGTATGTCTTCCCTTGATAGTACATAGAGATCTACTCAGTCACACCCTACCACATACTCTGCTGTGTCCTCCAGAGCACAGATCACTGCTTGGCTCGCTAGATACACATACTTAAATTGTACACTCTCCCTGTTCTCCCACTTCTTTTTTTTTTTTTTAAAAAAAAAAAACATTCTATTTTTTAAATTTTATTTATTCATTTATGTATTTCAATTCAACCAATGAGAGGCAGGCAGAGAGAGAGAGAGGGAAAGTGAAAAGGCAAGCCACCAGGTCCCGGACTCGAGCCCTGGTTGGCCATGTGGGAGGATCCAGCACCTTAACCACCTCGCCACCTACTGGCCCCCCTTCTCCCACTTCTTGATTTGCTCAGTTTGTATGTACACATTAATCCTTTTGCTACATATGTTTCAACACTAACAAGATAAAATCAGTTAAATACCCAGCCGTTTGTAGTATGTATTTCCTCCCCTGTAACAATTCAAATCTATGTGGCTTGTATTATTAACATATCAAATTGAGTCAGAGTAAGGGTTATATTACGTTCACATTTTTTTTTCATTCTTCTTATCTTCCTGTATTTTTATTCTTAAATAAATTCCTTTTCTTCTCTTTTCATATCTTTTGGTGCAGGAGAGATTGTAGACAAGGGATGCAATTATGGGTAGGGTTAAAAATATATATACAAGGTAGTATTGGTTTGTAGCCTAGTGATTAAGAGAGTTGGATCCCACATGGCCTGCCATGGTTCAACTCCCAGCCCTGGCAGCTTGAAAAACAGCCTAGGGGCATGTGTACATGGTGCCCCATATCCCAGCAGGGTAGAGAAATTGGTGAGAAGGGGCTGTAGCATGACTACAGTCCACTGGATGGTGCTTTCTGCCTGTCTCTCTGTCTCTCTGTCTCTCTGTCTGTCTCTCATGAGTGCATTTGCTCCCTGAAAATTGAAACAAGAATAAGAGAAAAAAAAGTTAAATTATTATGATTGCATCCCCACTTCCGTAGAAAGACTTGGATTCAGGTAATATCTTTGAGTGTCCATAATATTCTAGACGGTGACCTTGGGGTTGTGGCTCCCTTTGCCCTTTTTAACCCTCCAACATTGCATAGATTTTGTCTTATTTCCATTTACATAGCAGCACTGAAATGCAGAGTATTATTAGCTTGAAGTCACACAGTAAAAAGTAACTGAGTCAGTTTCAAATTCAGCTCCTCTGCTAACCATGGCAATGGGTATGGACATACCCTCACACTAATCCTCAGTGTAACTTTAATTTTTTTCTCTGGGAATTAAAAAGAATGTTTCTCAGCCCCCCAACCCCATCATGAATTCCTACCTCCCAAAAAATTCATGCAATTTTTTTCACATACTACTATAGGACTGGGAAAAATGTGAGACAGGAATAGCTGATTCTCTGGAGAAACTACGAACTTTCAAAAAGAAGCTTTCCCAGCCTCTACCAGATCACCATGAAGAACTCCATGCAGAACAAATGCGTTGCAAGGTAAATTTCACTGTAAACTATCTGCATATCTCATGGAAACATGCCTTTGGAAATATAATCCCATCAATCTCTGCAGCTGTTGGCATGCAGTGACAGGTCCTGGTGTGTTGCATGAGGGCAGACTTTTTAGTGAAACCTGCACTACTGATTTATTCTAGTTGATGAGATTATAGACTAGTTTAAGGATTGCTCTGAGAAAACAAATGAAAATGTAAAACAACACTAACAGATATTTAAACAGATATTTAAATATTTAAAGATATTTAAAGATTGCAATAAATGCAATCTTTTTAATGCATCCACATTGGGGAATCACTCTAACACAAAAGTTCCGTTTATGAGCAGGAGAATCAGGATGGGCTGCCTAGAAAATCTGCAGACACTGACTTTTGGAAGAACGTCCCCTTCCTCCACATCCTTCTGCAAGGAAAGTGGGCAAAAATCGCTGATTTCAGTTACTGCTTGGAGATACATGATCCTTAAATTACTCAGGGCTCTAGCTACTTAAAAATTAAAATCAACACTTCAGATCATACTTGAAAGCAAATCAGTAGCTAATACAGACCACTCCTTGGATTCTGAGCAACCCAAGGCGATTCAGTGATTCAGTGGCTTCAGTGGCTGTAAGTGCCATTCACACCTGTGTTGCCAAGTAGCGTGCCTAAACAGCAATTTTTCGCTGGGTGTCACATGCCCATTGTATTAAAGCACCTTTAACAGTGGTTGTCTCTCTAATTATACATGTTCTCAGTGTTTCCTATTCATTTGCATATTATTGCTCTTGGGTAATTTGGTTTAAATTTCACATATATTTAAATGACTTGAATTTTAATCAGAAGTTTTCTGCTTCACTTTGGCCAATAATTCATAAGCATTGAAGAGAAATTAATTATCAAAGAAATCTAAAGTGTGGATATAAGAATTTGTCTTTCAATACAAAAATTTAAAGATATTCTTTGAAGCTCAAAAAATGACAAGTTAGGAAAAACAATTGGTGGTATACTTGACATCATGAATGGTGAGAAAGTGAGATATTATCTTGGGGTGTTACATTTAGAAGTGCATGAAGGTTATAAAACCTAACAGGTTTCTTTTAAACCTGCGATTATAAATGTATTAAAAATTATTAAAGAAAATGCACAATAAGCAGAAATGGGCATTCGTTATGCTCCTCCTGCGTGCCAGTAACTATGCCACTTGGCAAGAACAGAATTCTTGAGGGCCTTCTGTTAGTTCCTTTTTGCAGAAGAGAAAGCTAATTCTTCTATGAATTTAATAACTTTTCAAAGTTAATGAATATCATGGGGACCAGCAGTTAGCGTAATGGCTATGTCACTGGACTCCCACGTAGTCGATCACGGTTCGAGTTCCGGACCCGGTGGCTTAAACTCACGCTGGGCGCATGTGCGTGCGTGCCCAAGATCCCAAGAGGAGAACGGAGGAGAAGGGATTGCGGTGTGACCATCCCCCCGGGGGGTGATTTTTCACTTTCTATCTCTCTGTCTCTCTCTGTCTGTCTGGCGAGCGCACGCACCCTATAGCAAAAACCTCTTCAAACAATTGGTGGTATACTTGACATCATGAATGGTGAGAAAGTGAGATATTATCTTGGGGTGTTACATTTAGAAGTGCATGAAGGTTATAAAACCTAACAGGTTTCTTTTAAACCTGCGATTATAAATGTATTAAAAATTATTAAAGAAAATGCACAATAAGCAGAAATGGGCATTCGTTATGCTCCTCCTGCGTGCCAGTAACTATGCCACTTGGCAAGAACAGAATTCTTGAGGGCCTTCTGTTAGTTCCTTTTTGCAGAAGAGAAAGCTAATTCTTCTATGAATTTAATAACTTTTCAAAGTTAATGAATATCATGGGGACCAGCAGTTAGCGTAATGGCTATGTCACTGGACTCCCACGTAGTCGATCACGGTTCGAGTTCCGGACCCGGTGGCTTAAACTCACGCTGGGCGCATGTGCGTGCGTGCCCAAGATCCCAAGAGGAGAACGGAGGAGAAGGGATTGCGGTGTGACCATCCCCCCGGGGGGTGATTTTTCACTTTCTATCTCTCTGTCTCTCTCTGTCTGTCTGGCGAGCGCACGCACCCTATAGCAAAAACCTCTTCAAAAAAAAAAAGAAAAAAAAAGTTAGTGAATATCATGGTTTCCTGAATCTAAACTTATATTTTTACCACTTTGATCATCTGATGAATAGGTATACATGAATCTGAAGCAGCTGATTTCTGGTGGTGGTATTATTGCTTATTACTATTTTTTAATCTCTACACCAAATCAGATGTGTGAGTTGGGAGCTATGCACTGATACAGTGAGGAAAATCTTTACCTTGGTGTAACAGTTTAATGTCTAAGGGCAGAAACAAAAATGGTGCATGTTTAAGTCATGTTGATGGTTTGGTCTTTCAGCCAAATACTGTTACTCTGTAACCTCATTTTTCATCTCTCAAAATATAAGACAAGAACAGTGAGCTTTTGAGTTTGTAGCCTGAAAGGATGCATTTCAGTGTAGCTCTCTGTTACTTTTCCCCAAACCACCGTGAGTGGCAAAACAAAGCAATTACCTGGAAAAATCAGGCTAAAACCTCGTTTGCCTGAATTGCCTCAGATGGTTCTGTTAATTGCCTTTGCTTTTTGGAAACCTGTCACTCGTGTAAAGAGACAACAAGGGAGGAAGCAGGCCATGTGGAATACTCACTCTGTCTGCACAATAAATTAGTTATAATCCAAACACAACAGCTGTCCGAGAGCAACATTTCTACAAACTGCAAAACTGGTCATCTGTTGAAGCATTGCAAAAACCAATCCCAACTCATTCGGACATCGTTATGTCTATTTTCTCCCCGAAATCATGCCCATAAAAGACGGGGTCAATAATCTTTTTGTTTCAATAACTTAAAATATCTCTGATCCTGCAGAAAATAAAATCAGTGCATTGTTTTAAGTTGAATAGTGACTCCAACAGATTTTCTCAGTTTTTATATCCTAAGTATGCATCATAAATGTAGCAACTCATAGTGTTGAAAATGAAAGTTACTGGCTTATGAGACCAGTTTCAAGAAGATCAATGCAGTGATGAAACTTCATGCATTCATCTAAGTTGATGAAACTACTTCTCTTTTTTGTTTTTTTTTTGGAGAGGTTTTTGCTATAGGGCACGTGTGCTCGCCAGACAGACACAGAGAGAGACAGAGAGATAGAAAGTGAGAAATCACCCCCCAGGGGTATGGCCACGCCACAATCCCTTCTCCTCCGTTCTCCTCTAGGGATCTTGAGCACGCATGCACATGTGCCTTGCGTGACTTTTAAGCCACCTGGTCCGGGATGTGATCTGTGGTCGACTACGTGGGAGTTCAGCGATATAGCCATTATGCTAACTGCTGGTCCAATGAAACAACTTCTTTAAAGAAAAAATGTTTTCAAGTCAGTGAAATGATAAATAGGTGGTGGAAGGATTCTGTAAGTACCTGATATTTTACCAGAGGAACAAGACAATCTACCAGATGATGTAAGGTGCAAATAAAGTGAATTCCAAATTATGTGGAATGGAAGAGAAATTTTATCAAGAGGAACTTAAAAAAAAACTTAAAAGTCGTTGACTACAGGGGCCAGCAGGTGGTGTGGTGGTTAAGGAGCTTGATTCCCACATGGCTGACTGCAGTTTAAAACCGAATATCTTACTGGATACCACAGTGTGGCAAGAGGGTGGATGAAGGAGTAGGGTCTAAGGAAGGACATTAAGGAGAAAAATAGAGAGGCAAGGCATTTATGGGACAAAGAAATGGGTAATTACCTATTGAAGATAACTTTATAGTATGGTCAACTGGCCTGATGAGAAATGTACACATGCTGGAATATTCACTTTGCAAGCTAAGTAACATGAGATTGAATGTATAAAAGAAATTGAAATTTAAAAATAAAGAAAAAAAAATAAATCCCTGATCTGGTGGCTTGAAAATCACAATGAACAAATAGATGATTGATAGATAGATAATAGATGTTAGGTAGGTAGATATAGATAGATAGATAGATACAGATAGTTATAGGTAGATAGAGATAGATAGGTAGGTAGATAGATAGATAGATGATAGATAGATAGATAATAGATAGATGGATGATAGATAATAGTTGATAGAGATAGAGATAAATAAATATTGGGGGGGGGTTGTTGACAACAGATGTCCATGGATATTTTTTTTTAAATCTAGGAATTGGAAAATGCAGTAGGGAGCTGGCCGGATGACTTGAGCCAGTTGACTCTGCTAAAAGACACCCTCTCTGCCTATATCAGTGCTGATGATATCTCCATCCTTAACGAGCGCCTAGAGCTTCTGCAAAGACAGTGGGAGGAACTATGCCACCAGGTAAGACAAGCTCCAAAGATGAAACTGTCTCCTGATGATGGGAAACTGAGAGATGATTCACAATGACCAGTGGTTCTACCCAGTCCATAACTCATAGTATGGATAAAGGAAAAACCCTGTGTCTATCAGCAAAATATTCTAGATTAAAATGACTCTATCTTAACATTGTGTATTAGGTGTGTCTATGCTGGATTCTCTCTCTCTCTCTCCCTTTTACTGCCAAGTATAATCTTCTTAAGAGGAAGCAAAGAGCTGTGGTCCTTAGGTGTGGTTTTGCTAAGACAGAAACTTTAAACATGTGAAAAAGCATTTACTATTCTAGCTAATATGGTAGAGCTGGTTGTGTACTGGCCCTTGATTTACTGTAGATGTTGCCAAGGAATTCCTGGGTGCCTGGAATTTTTAAGTCACACTTTATATTCATTTATTAAATACCTTCTACATGCAGAGTATAGTAAAAGACATCCAGGTTGGCTTTTGAATTGGAAATGAAAGGTGAGATTGGTGGAAGGTAGCAAGAAGACATCCTAGGCAAACACAATAACAGATTAAGGCTGTCAAATGAAGAACAAGCAGATGCCTAAGAAGTCACACTCTCTAGGAAGCGGGAGTATGTCGGTCTTGTTACTTCTGTACCTTGAATACCATGCCTGGCACACAATAGACTGATACATCATTGTTAAATGGGTCATTGATCTTAATTATTACAAATTTGTTATACTGTAATCTACCATCTGTTTACAATAAGCCAAGACTAAATCAGTCTAGAAGAACCTCTGCAGTTAAGAAAACCAGGTATAAACAAGTTAAAAACAATATAAACAACGTGTAAGGATATAAGTGATCTACTGGCAGTGCGATTTGCAGAGATTAAAGGAAATATTCCTTAAATAGATAAATCTTGAATTGAATCCTGAGATGAAAGTAAAGGAGACAGATTGGTGTGGAGGGAGCAAAGGGATATCTTAACAAGGTTGCAACTTGAGTGACTGTCCAGGACCTGAGTGCCTGGCTAGGAGAAGTAGTTATTGGAAGGCTGAGGAAGGGCCTTTAGTGTCCACCCAGCTTCATGTTTCTGTGTGTCCACACCAACTGTGCTGCCCTAGAGTCTCTGTTCTCTCCCATCTACTCCACGGTCTCTGACTTGAGGGTTGTATGTTCTTACTTTTCAAGAACCACTGAAAGAGTTTAAGAGGCTCAAAGACTCTTGATTTGACATCAACAAAAAATGCAATTGTAGCAAAATGTCTCTCTGTATGTTTAGATGAAAATCCAGATGTCTCCTTGGACCATGCACCAAAGCAAAACTCTGAAGCCTCTTGGTAGATGTGTAAATATTAGGTTGTTGGGGAAGTCATGATGCATTTTTACATAAAAGAATACATTATGACTTTCTCTGTGGCCTAATAGTTTCATATGAATATATATTTTTAAAAGAGGACATGTAAGAGATGACTTTTAGGAGCATGTTAATGATTTGAGTTCAAAATGAATTGAGCTACTTTCCACACAGTTCCATATTCTCAATGAACTCGGTGAGAAATTTATGTGGAGTTACTCACAGAGGGTGATAATGTTAATCACAATCCCGTGTTTTTTTTCCTAAAATTCTTCAAACTGAAAGCAACACACTCCCATACAGTAAATTATTCTCTGATTTAAAGACCTTATCATGATAAATCACAGAAGTCAAAGAGAGTTGGTAAATTAATAGGAAATTATCCCAGTAAGGTTCAGTTAATTCTGTGAGCTTATTTGTTCATCTGTTCTTCTTAATTTTGAGATAATTCTAACAGTACATTATTTTAGTGTTTTTCAGCATGTTCGATAAAATGAGTTAGACCAGATCTATTTATCTAGCTCATTGATGTTTGCGAAGAGTCAATATTTTGTTCCCGAACTTCCTACCTCAAGACCTTGATTATGCCTCTCTTCCTGCTTAGACTGCCTGTTTTTTTCCCCTCAGCTTGCCAACTCATTTGCTTTCACATTCCATACCCCTACGATGTCATTTTCAAAATGCTCAACCCTCAGTGTTTGCCCTCTGAACTCTCATTTCCCTTTTGGTCTGTGCCATCATGTGAGATACACTGTTTTGTTTTGGTTTTGGGGGTTTTGTTTCATTTTTTTTTGTTTTTAATATTTGTGACGGATTCTAAGACTCTGAGGCTCTTGAAATGCAAAGAGCATGTCTTATGCTCTGAAAGTTCATTATGTATTGGTAACAATCAAAACAAGCCTGAAGGGCATTAATTTATGTCTTCATACTTAAGTTCCCTTAAGGGTTAATTAATGTCAAGATTTTGAATATTTTGTAGATAAAAAGATCATGGTTATGCAATAGTTTTTGATTTAGGAAACTATCTTGTAAATATGCCATGGCGTTATTATTATTAATAGGTAGAAATTTATATGTTGTGAAATTGTTCGCTGGACTTAGATGTATCTAGGTAGAGTCTGTTTAAAAATATCATTTTGAAAGCTGCTGCTGATCATATGATGTACTCTGAAGACCTGTAAGTAGAATACAGTAAAATCTAGGAAGCCAAAGGAATATATTATGTTTCCAGAAACTTTCTATACTGAAATGGCTTAAGTCATGAAGGTAAAACATATTTATTTCTATTACGTCTATCTAAATAAAATTATTTTAAAAAGTGAGAATTTAGTCATAGGTATGATTGAGATGCCAAGATCGATGTCTAAGAAAGGGTATAGAATAGTTATGAGTTCTTGAGTTAGTTGTTTCCGGTGAATTTCTGTCAAGTATGAAACCACAAAAGGAAATGAGCTTGTGCCTATGTCTCGTTGTAAAAGTCAAAAACTTTAGTTCAACATAGCGTTATCCCTGCAAACAAGCCAGTGGCTGCTCCTTTTCTGATCAAAGCAGCTGGTGAGAAGTCAGGAGTGATGGGGAGTGCAGATGAGAATGAGGAAGACAGGATGTAAGTAAATGTTGCAGGGTAGACATAATGCACAAAACTACCCTATTTTCAATAGACTTGCCGGATGATTTGTTGTACCTGTGTATAGCCATAGTTTATACTTGTTTTTACTCATGTGTTGGTTGGTAGATTTGTGTGTAATTCTAGTTTAAATGTATATCATTATTGTAATTGCTTGTTGATTTTTCAAAATGTTATGGTAAAATATTTGAAGTAGAAGAGGATGTATTTCCTGTTCAGCTGCCTCACACTCTGGAGGTTTTAGCCTATACTTAGCAGCTATTAACCACGTAGTGTAGTTGAGCCCTGAGAGAACACATAGGTACTCAGCTGATAAATGATTTGAGTTTCAGCTGAACACAAAGAAAGAGATGCTAATATCCACTGATTATATGGCCTAAATACTGAATGTACAAACCAAAAGGAAAATGCCACACCTTTTACAAATTTACATCTTTTTCAGCGCTTTGGGCTCCAACTTGCACCCACCATTGGAGCCTACCTGCTTCTTCCTCTTTCAGCTGTAGCTCCATTATCAGCAAATGAAAGTAATACTCTCAGGGTGTGTGATAAACACCAGGAAACATATTCAAGCTGCTCATGGACATATTAAATACTCGAGTGTTGAGTAGAAAGAAATATTAAAATCTTAAAAGATGCCTTATAGTCATGCATAATGTTTGAGAGGTGGGGGACTTGAAAAAGTTCATGGAAAAATGGCATCGAAGTACAAGTTTATTTTGGTGCAAGAAATTTGAAATCTATGCATAGCGTTTTTTCATAACATGCACTTCCATGAACTTTTTGAAGACCTCTTGTAGCCATAGCAGCAACAGCAGCAGCAGCAGCAGCAGCACTGGCCAGCTCATGTTTGGTCTTTAAGGTACAGCAGTCACTTTCTTAAATTTTCTTCTTGTTTTCATTGTCCTGTTGGCCTACCATATGCTGGTACATGGGACAGTGCATGGCACATAGTAGATATTCACTTGCTACGAACATTAGACATTTGATTAATTTTGGAACATATGTAAGATTAATTTACAAACTAAAGGAATAGGCTTAGAGAAGATGAGTAACCTTTCCCTGCCTGTATTATTATTATGTGATGGAGCCTGGTTTTGAGTCTCAGTGCCCTCTGGGTGTTTAATCGTTATGTTATATTGCAACCTGTATCAGAGACATAAGCTTTGCTGGTCCTAGCTCAGACTGACATTAACAAAAGCCTCAAAATTATATGACTTTTACTCTTGTTTTTCTGATGAGGATAATAATAGATTATCAAAGTAATATTAAAGTCTAGTTATCAAAGTAATGTTATCTGTTCTGTGGTCATCTTCCCTGTGGATACTGGTGGGCAAAGCCCTAGGCTTCATTCTTGACTCATTGCCAAGGTTTAGGGGAGAATAAGGGAGGGCCTATCCCCAGCAAGACTCATTCATCTTGAGCCACAAAGGCAAGGGTTTCTAACCTTTTCTTAGACAACAGTTACTGTGGGCAGTCCCAATTATGTTCCAACTCAGACAGTAATGGAACCAGAATTTTAACTGCTAGCCAGACTCCCAACTTGGATGATCTCTGAATGAAAAGGAAGAATATTGACCAGAGAATTCAAGATGTTAGAGAGATTGCAGAAGATAGAACACCCTCTGCTCTCAAAGAGCAAAGGGCTGCTTAAAGAATTCTGCTCTCCAGTACCATCCAGCATAGGCCAAGGTAGGGAAAATTGGTCTCCAAAACTTTTTAACTTATGTTTTCTTGACTTTTTCCAGTCCTATCAGTTTTCATCCCAAGAGAGTTTGCTACCCTCTGGCTATTATGTATTATTCTGTCTCAAAACAAAACAAACAAAACTAAATGGTAAACAGTCATACAAATGGGTAAATACTAATGGATTCATCAGTGTCACCCACCCCCCAAAAATTGTATTTTGAAAGATCATAATAATTACTTCCAAACAGTGATCTTTTAATGGTGGTTTCAGAAACCATGGCAGGAGGTGAGGTTCACTTGCCTGAGGTCAGCCCTGGGATAGGTATGCTGAACACATGGATTCCCATTTTTTTGCTGGATGTACAATCTTCCATCCTTCATTTCCCTTCTTCTTTCTTCCTTTTCTCCCCCTTCTTTTCTACTTTTCTTTATTTTTTATTTTCTCTTTCTTTTTTCCTTTATTTTTCTTTTCCTCTTCTTTCCTTCCTTTCCCCATTCTGTCCAATTTCTTCCTTCTTTTTTAGTGGAAGTACTCTTTATCGTCATTGATGTGATTAACTTAGAAGCTGCACCAATTGTTGTGTGAAGTTGGATTACATAGATCCTTTGATAAGAAATGTGCATGTGACTTCAGGAAAGAAACATGGGATTCCATGTCTCCCACTGGAACTTTAATAGCAAATCCTATAGTTCAGGAAACAATAG